TTTGAACCCCAAAAATCATTCAGTTCAAATTCAACACTTTTTCAGTTGGGGACACTGTGGTGAAAGGAGAGGCCATCTGGCTCATTTCTGCTTTTGGGCGGTGGAACAGGCACTCGACACCTAGCTTACCTGTCACCTTCTCTGCAAAGCCTTCCCTGTCCCCAGCTACTCCCCTCTCTGAACTAACATGGCCTTCCGTGTACTTGCCTCTGCCACAACTTTCCTTTCACAGCACGTACCTCATTTTATAGTTTTCATTCGTTTACATCCATGTTTTTCCACTTTACTTTGACTTCCATAAAGGGTTAGAGTCTTACTCATTTTTGACTACCTCCCTAAAACTACTACTGAGTAGCCATTCAAAACTGCCTGAAGAATTAATTCATGTATTTACCACCTTCCCTGTGACGGTTCCTTTTCTCTGTATACAAAATGAAGATTGCACTGATGTGTCTCGAGATAATTGCCCAACTTACGTATGACTGGCATGTGTCTCAAGACCCTAAAAGTGCTTTGTAAATGCCAACCATGATTACAACCCTTTGAAACAATGGGGTCTATGATTTACAAGTGGAAAAAGATGAGACACAGCAGGTAATGTTTCTTGCCTGGTTCACATTTCTATCCCCACCCATCATCAGATAGTGATTCAGAGGTAAATACATCAACTTGGGAAGAGTGAGGAGGGTGTAAGTCGGGTCTAGGTAGAATTTCCAGGACCAATGCCATCACATCTGATGGGGCCAAGGGGAAGGGCAAGGGCTCCCAAGAGGAACGATGCTATCCAATTCATTTCTGCAGTGGAGACTCAAATGACCTGCCCTACCAGAGCAAAAGAAGACTCAGGACAAGGACCTACAAGGCAGAGGGAGGGCAAGGCTTGTCTTGTTCACCTTTTCTTCCCTCTCCCGGAAGGTGTATCACATCAAGTGGCCAGAAAAGGTGGCTGTTTATCGACTGAATGGTGCATTCAGATTTCCTCACTAATAATGTGTATAAGGAAAAGAGGGGGGAGAAACGTTTTGTTTGCTTATTTTTCTGTGGGCCCTTAACAAGGTCTCTGAAGGAAGAAGTGACTCACTGAGCCAATTTCTCATACTGCTGAGGTCATTATCCATTGTAGAGCAGAGTCAGAATCCATGATCTGATTGTTCCAGACGTGACATCGTCTGGCCTCAGAAGTCAGCAGTGGGCACAGAGAACAATGTGATTTCCCAGGGGGAGGAAAACTGGGGGAGGCTATGACAGTGTGAGTCCAAAGCTCAGCCCGGGAGTGAGCTCAGAAGTGGTTGATGTTACTTGTCTCTCTGTGTTTGAGGAAATCAACCAGGTCCAAAACAAAATGAGCCCTGATATCTCCTGTTGGAAACATCCAATTACCTGGGACTAGAGGATCTGTGGGCGGGCTGTGAGAGTCTGTGGGAGGTCACTTCACATCACAGGCTTCTTGGCAGGAGCTGGAGAGGGAATCATAAACGTGGGCCCAGTCTAACTGACGCGTAAGGGTTTTCTGCCAAATGGCTCCTGTTTCTCCTGAATTCTGGATGTGGCAACAGTTCAAATTGTTTTCCCACTTCTCAGCTGTACCATTGTCAGTCACCTCAGAATGGTAATCCTTCGGCATAAGGAACTGGTGAAGTGGCCCCCATTATCTTCTTTCTTGATGTCAGCGAGGGGTTGTTTGCCTGTGGCTCTTCTGTGAAATATTCAGCATTTAGACTGCAATTAAAATTCATGGCTATGCATTATTAAATGGTGTTGACTCATTCCATGACTTCCCCTCCACTGAATAAGTGCCAAAAAGTGTCATGTCGACAGGTTGCATGAAACTAAAAGTTCCTTGTCAAACAATTTACATTCAGGGTTCCGAAGACAGCACATTACACATCCAAGAATATCAATCAGTGTTTCCTCAAGGGAAAAGTTAAGTTCAGGTTTCTTCCTGCTAGAGGAAGAGGAAAATGGCTCCTGAGAACTTTCTTCCCTTTTGTGAGTTTCAGGAAAGCAGTGCGTGGCTCACAGAATTTATTAAAAAATGGGCTAATCGGATTGAATTATATACCCCATATGCACTATATCTTAGAGGAGAAGAGCAAATGTGCTTTCACACATAATTCAGCAAGAAAATAAAAGAGGAAAAAGTTTAGATTTGTAAAACCAACCAGATACCCCCCCTCCCCCCTTCATGTATTATTTAGTATTGGATATATTTGGAAGCATGGCAGAGAGAGCAAACAACTCTGGTCCTTTCCTCCCTTCTTGTTTAAAAAAAAAAAAATGTGTTTCTGCTTCAGACATGGACATCTCGAGCTCACCAATCACAGGCTTGCATCTCACTGTTCCCCACCTCCTTATCTGCAAAATGGAATTCTCCAAGAGGTAGAGATGAAGAGTCCTAGACATGAAGTGATGAATTGTGTTTTATAGCCTGACCTGCCTCAAGCACATAGAATGCTATTGAGTGAAACTAGAAAAAGGCACCCCTTCTAGACAGGCATGAGTCTTCGGGTCCACAGATTGGAGAGCAAGCATCACTTTTGCCAATTACAAAAAGGCAGACCTTCTTCTTGTGGACGATGCCCTTTGCCAGGATTCCTGTGCCCACAAGCCTCCTGGGCCAGCCATTTTCCCATCACTCCAATTCTGTAACCAGAGTTTCCTGATCTCTGAGCCTCAGTTTCCTTCCAAGGATGGGATTAAACTGTGACTTCTATGACCTCCTTCTCGCCTTCATTTTTTTAGTTCTAAAAGCTGCAAAAATTCGAATGGGCTCTTCTAGCACACGGACTGTCATTTTTTAGTTCAATTTTTTAAAGTCGTCTGATGACACTCCCTAACTATTGGAATGAAATCATGTATGGTTTTATGTGGAACAGATTAAAAATACAAATACTTTCCAGTATAGTTGATGTCCCAGGTGTAAAACAATATTGGTAACTTACAAAACAGGAAAAACTCCTCTGTTGTCAGCAAAGGGTGGGAGATACGGATCTACCACAAAGAAGATTTATGGAGGCCTTCACCTACTTTCTGTGGGGCTGAATGTCAGAATCCCCCCTGAAGCCCCTTGCTTGCTCAGAGCATTCAGAGCACCCAGGAAGTGGGACTGCAAGGAGCCAAGGGCTGTTTTCTTTGTTGTTGCCTTGTTGCCAGAAAACAGAAGTCAGATCCTTGCCAGCATCTTCCTATCAGCCGATCTGAGTGCCAGCAAACGCTCCTCAGAGATAGCAAACAAATAGCAATCTACCTTCTCAGAGCTCAGAAACTTTTATAGTCTTAAATTGGGTTTAAAGTTTTAAAATCATATATATATATATATATATATATATATATATATATATATATATATATAATGAACCTAGTCACACAAGTCTCAAAATGTTAGTAGAAGTAAATGTGGTTGCATTTGTGAATATTTCCAAAATCATTTCTTTTGTTGTTTGTTTGTTTATTTATTTATTTATTGAGAGCCAGGCTTCTGGAAACAAATACAGCCAGTTAGGACACTTACAGAGAAGAGAACAGGAGCCCAGAAAGGGAAGGAGAGTAGCTCCAGATCACACAGCAGGGCATATATGATCGCTCTGCGATTATAATCTAATGCTCTTTCCATCTCCCATGATTGGGTGGAAAGGTTGGGTGGAAAACAGCATGTAAATCGCAATGACTCATTTGTTCAGACTCAAGGATGAATGTTCTTATCACTCACCCAGATCATAAATGGCGGAAAGTAAATGTGAGTTTTAGAAAAAAAAATTGTATTTGCTGCTTTTCTGAAAAGCTATGACCACTACCACTGTCCATCAAAGAGGCAAGTAACTCCCACTGTCTAGGGGTGCAGGTTCCCCTTAGCTAGAACAACAGAGTTCCATCCCAAATAATGTCTCAGAATGGGCACCAAGGACCAGACATTGTCTGGATGAATATCTCTGTTTGTTACCTACTTCTGTTTCTTCAAAAGCAGTGCTCCCACAGAGCATCTGCCAGCAAAACTAGTCATTGCCCAACATTGCACCTGGGTCATCTCCAAAGCTCCTGTAGGATCGCAAAACCATTACCTCAAGATAAAGCAAATATTTGGGAGAAGAAAAACAAATGTCAGATATTAAAATAAGGCTCCCTTTATTAAACAAACCAGTCCCAAGAACAAGCCCACATGCTGGACAGTAGCAAAGAGGAAGGACCACCAAGCTATGCAGATGAAGATTGGAATCAATTAGAAATCCATTTTTCTCAAGATCAACATGCTCCTTTTCACCCATGGACTCCACTCTCAGGCGACGTGTCCAGATTCAGATGAGATTCAAGATTTTCTTCTAAAAGTCACTGGGGTGAAGATCCACTCTATCTCAAACCCCTCAACAACCTTCAGAAGAACATGACTCCCAGGGTGTCCTTTCTGGAGTGCTGTGGAGGATGGATGGAAGCTTCCAGTGTAAGTTTATCTTCTGGTAGAAATGTCACCAAGGCCTTGGAAAGGCTGGGCCCCTCCATCTCACACAGTACTTGTCAGAGTGGTTCTTTCTCAGAGTCTGGGGGCCCTCAGCCAGTGACAGGTGAGGCAGTGCAGACCCCACCACCACTGGGCACCTCAGGCTCAAACTCATGGCCATCATTACCATGAGAGGAGGTGGCTGAGAGGCTCAGAGCCAGAAAGGCCTTTTGAGAGGGCAACACACACTAGCTTTAGAACTATATCACACATAGTTTACCCTGAATTGACTTATTCTTTCTGCTTTAGCTCTTGGATCTGCAGCCATTGAAGTGCACATGCGTGGAGGGGTTGGGGGTGGGGGATGACTGGGCATTGACAGATGAACTGATGAAAACAATAAGACAGACAGACTGAGTGAGGCACAGCAAACACCCTTAGGAACAGAAGGAAGATCTGATGACTGGTATTAACCTGTTAATTTATACCGTGGCTCTGTACAAAAATAAAAAGGTTCTCATAAGATTATTAACAATTTAAATAAATATCTGATAGAACACTCTCATTTTTATAGCTCATCTTTTGGGTTGATGTTCAGTTCGTGTTTCCCTCGTTGTTCTTGATCCAGGATTGCGATCACTTCATCGGCTTTTATCCGCTCCTGCAAAAAAGACAATTTGCACATTTTTGTTACAAGCATCATAGTCAGTCCTGGTGGCAGATGCTTTCCCAACACTTTCAGGCATCCATCTGTTCATGGGATGGAAGCTAAATCCAGTTAAGGATTGAGCCTCACCTCATCCCTGCAATGGTGCCTTCTCTTGACTTCCCTGTGTCCTAGTCAATCACTTTCCAATATTTCTCTCTTGCCAAGAATTCTTCTATATTCAACTGCTGACTCCCTTTTCTATGTTGTGGTCCTATAGACATCTCTCAGTCAGCTCTACAATTCAGTATTTCAAGCTTGATTCACCGTTTTCTTCTGTACAGACCTACTCTGTTCCTCCTCACAAATCCCCTTTCTCAGTGAGCCAGCCCCTGCTCACCCATTTGCCCTAAAAGCCTGACCATGGATCCTTAGATCTCATCTATCTCCTGTGCTCTTACCTTTCTTTTCAGTGCACATTACTGTTGCCTTAACTTAGGCCAGGTTTCTCAATCTCAGCACTACTGACATTTTGGAACAGTGAAGGCTGTCATATGTATCATAGAGTGTTTAGCATCCCTGGCCAGTAGCAGCTCTCCCCAAGTTATGACAACCAAAATTATTCCTGGAAATTGTCAAATGTGTCTTAGGAGGCAAACCACCTCTCACTTAAAAATAAAGGGTTTAAGCTTTCATTATCTCTCAAGTCAGTTGCTACAGTAGCTTCCAAATTGATCTGCTCCACACCCCACACCCACATGCTTCTAACAGAACCCATGCATTTGACTCATGACCACATCATCTTCCTGTTCACTGCTCATAGCCCTGGCATGGCCTCCCACTTCGTGAAGTTCCAGGCCCAATTTCCCTGCTGTGTTTATAAGGAGTTGTGTGATTTACATCCTTCTTCTTATTTAGCTCACCTGTCCTCTCTCACTTTACCAACCTGCTAACTCACCTCAAGCTCTCTGAACCCATCACTCTCAGAAGAATTCCCCAGTTCTAGAGTTAGCTAAATGCCCCCCTGGATACTTCCATCATATCCTGTGCTTTTTCTTTCCCTCCACATCAGTCAATAGCAGGCCCAGTTGGTCTATCTTCAAATGGCATCTCAAACCTTCCATATTTTTTCACCTTCTCTCTAACTACTTTCATCTATAACATGCTGGCTGGATAAGAAGAACAGCAAATTGATAACTCTCTCTCTCTCTCTCTCTCTCTCTCTCTCTCTCTCTCTCTCTCTCTTTTTTTTCTTTCTCTAAAATCAATAAATAAAAATTTAAAAAAAAATAAAGCTATTCTGTAAACATTTCATACCCTGTAACTCCCCAGGACTAGGGGAGGCAGGGTAGGTAGGGGACATTGCTTCCCTCCCCCACCCTCAGTTAGAATACAATCCATATTCCTCAACCAGTTTGTTGAGTCTGACCCCTGTCTCCTCTGTGGCCTCTTTTCACATCACTCTCCATCTTGCACAGTACATTCCAGTTACTGAGCTTCTTGTTTCTTGACCACTCTAAGCTCCCTCTGGTCCCTGGGTTTTCATAACCTGTTCTCTGGCTAGAATTCTCTTCCCAAGGCCATTATCAGAGTTGACTTCCTGTTACTCAGGTGGCAACTCACCTGTCATCAGTCCCAAGGACCTTCAGGGTGCCACCCCTTCCTTATCCCTCTGATATCAGTGACCTTGTTATCTTTTCCATACATTTCTCACTATCTGAAAGCCTCTTAATTATTTATTCTTTTACATATCTGTTGTCATTTTTTCCACTAGAAGGGAAGCTCCATGAAATCAGGGAATCCTGTCATTTGTAGTCACCGCTGTATTTCCAGTGACCAGAAAAGCTATTGTCACTTTGAGAGGCCTCCATTCTATCTGGCACATTAATGTAAAAGTAAATGAAAGTCTTGCTCTATAAAAATACCTCTCTTTAAAGAAACTGCGCTCATCCTCTGAGATTCATGTCAAATGTCATCTCCTCAATAAGGCCATTCCTGGTTTCCTGTTTATATCCCTTAATAACTATCATTGAACTGCTTCTTGTGTTTTAATTACTCAGGTACCTGTAATTAGCTGTCCACTTTGACTTGAAGCTCCTTGAAAATAGGAGTTTTGTCTGTCTTACCTATTTTGTATCCCCTGTAGTTAGTTCCTAGCATAATGCCTTATACTGAATGTCATGACAATAACTATTTTGCAACTTGAAAACAAAGCCCCATCATTCAAGAACTTGTAATTAAAAATGACATTGATATAAGGATAACTAAAAGGCCCAAATACACTAAATAACAGAAATCTAAATTGCTGTCATGATGCCTAAGTAAAATGCCTGGTTACCACTTTTTGAACACGCGGAGAATAACCTGCTTAGCAATGATGTACACACGAAACTTTCTCCCCAAAGTGCCGGGAAGGGGCCTGTTGCATCCTCTCTCTCCTGAAAGGAAAGAAGTTCCACAGCGGGGACATTACACACAGGAACTGAAGCCTCTAATATTATGCATCTTTAAGAGTTTATGATGTAAAATTTTCCGTAAGAATTAAGTACCTTTAAAATAACCTAAAACAAGCATATAAGTTGCCAGCTCCAGTGATTTATTTATAGGCAGCCTCCATTTATTCAGGGATTTAATCTGAGACAAGGTGCCTAATTCAGAAATTTTCAAAATTTGCTGCACATTAGAATTACCTGAGCAGCTTTAAAACTTCTGATAATCAGGTCACACCCCATGCCAATCAAATCAGAATTTCTGAGGAGTCAGGAGTTTGTAAAGCTCCCCCAGGTGATTCCAATGTAGAACATTGCTTGAGGCTCTGGTAATTTTTTTTCCTGTGGCCACTAGATGTCGCTACTGTCCAGAGACTGGAAATATTTCCCATTATTTGCCTTTCAGAGCAGCATTGATGTCACTGGTTAGGAAGGACCAAAGAGAACTATTTTGTGTTAAAACTTTTATTTTGATTTAAAAAAAATCTTGAAAGAGAGAGTTGAGATCTGAGTAATAAAACAGATTAACTGTTTTCTGGATTGAACACTAAACAGAGGAAACAGTAAGGCAATTTTTCAACAAGCTATCTTCACTGTCAGCTGGCTTATCTAGGTTCCCTAGTACAGAGTGCTGTGGCGGCATGCTGGAATTTGGAGGTGGAGAAGCACAGGAAAGGGATTAATCACAGATGAAGGAGATTGCTCAATGTCCCTTGAAGTTTTCAGAACTCTCTGTGCTCCTTTGCCTCAGCAGGACCTTTTTTTTTTCTTTTTTTTTCTTTCTTTTTTTCTCTTCTGCACTGTTATATGCTTTTCTTATTCTTTAAAAATTATTCTTATTGAATTTTAGAGAGAGAGAGAAACATTGATATGAGAGAAGAAAATCAATAGATGGCCTCCTGTACTTTCTCCTGTCCCCCAATGAGGGGCACTGAGCCTATAGCCTATCCAGGCATGTGTACTGACTGGAAATCAAATCAGCAACATCTAGGTGCATAAGACAACACCCAGCCAACTGAGCCACGACAGCTAAGACTATATATGCCTCCCTTGATTCCCCTACAACTCATACTGATGTCTTCTCACTTTCTATTTTCTTCTTGACCTCCCTAAGCTCCTCCTGGTCAGGCACTATGTTTTGTTCCCCTTTGTACCTCCCCCACCCCAGCCTACCTAGCAGAGTTTCTCAGATACAATAGTAGCTCTTCTGTAAATATTTGTTAAATATATGAATGAAAGCTTAGAATATGGGTGAGTTAGGTTTGATGGCAAAAGGTATATGAGAAATCTGGTTAATTTTAAATAGTTTCTGATTAAATTGTATTCAATTTAGGGATCTAAAGAAGAAAATTGGATGGAATGTCATTTTATTTATTTTTAAATTATTTTTTAAAATATAATTTTATATACTTCAGAGAGGAAGAGAGAGAGATAGAAATGTCAATGATGAGAAAGAACCATTGATTGGCTATCTCTTGCATGCCCCCTACTGGGGGTAGAATCACCAACCCAAGCATGTGTCCTTCACCGGAATTGAACCTGTGACCTTTAAGTCCACAGGCTGAAGCTCTATCCACTCAGCCAAACCAGCTAGGGCAGATGGAATGTCATTTTAAAGAATAAAATTCATCAACAGTTGAGGCCAGAGAAGTCTTTGAAGCTGTCCAGTTGAAATTTCCATTTCAATTTCAGCATTCCATGCCAAGCAGCTGGTAAGGCTTTAGTTAGAGCCATCCTATGATGAGGAACGCAGTACTTCCAAAGCAAACAATTTCACCAAATAGTGGTTATGATTTATAAGTTATTTCTAATATGTTTAATCCATTTTTTCCCCTAGGGAATTCTACCCATTGGTCTTTATTTATTCCTCTGCTACTTCACAGATAGAGCCTATCACTTCTGCCCAAGGGCATCCAGAGGATAAGATCATGGTCTCTAATCCAGCCTAAATGTCCTCAGCTGCTTCCCATATAATAAGAACAATATTTTTATATTTAGGATTTAATTTAATTATAATATATAACATTGAACTTCCAGGTTCCCTTACCTCTTCTACATGTTTCATAAATTAGTCAGTGCTCCTCTAATGATTTGTTGAGGAAACAAATAATTCTTCCCAGTAACCATAAAAAGTGGTTCCTCTCTCCTGATGCTAGAGTTGTTGTTGTTTTATTTATTTTTATTTATTTTTTCATGGTAAAGACTGCTTTATTGGTGGCAGTTAGTACAAGTCAATAAATACTGATCCCAAAGAAAAACAGTTATTGTCAGCATACTGGTCCATAGAGAGCTGAATGAAACTGAACCAGCTGATTGCTGGGAGGATAACTGACGTCAACCCTGCTTCTTTGGAGATGAAGCCAAAGCCAGCTGATATATGGCATAAATTATTCCACCAACTGTAAGAACCATGGTAGCTCTATACAGGAGGGCATCAGCTACCCCACCTTTTAGATGCACTGGAATTCCATTGTCCTCCTAAAATAGCTTCTGTTTCTCTCGAACTTTATTTTCAAACTGCCTTGGTGAAGCAGTAATTATGATCTCTGGGAAATATGAGGAAGAGCCAGCAGATTCTGAAACCTGTTAGCTCTCAGTTGTTGTTGTTTTAAATAAAAGCTCAAAACTAATTAAGGACAGCCAAATAATCATTGATATATCAACTTCTGCAGACATTCACTTATTAGAACGCAGTGATTAAGAATTGCCTTCATTGGCAGTGACGTGTTACATGACACCTGTCAGAATGGCTATCATCAACAAATCAACAAATGACAAGTGCTGGTGGGGATTAGAGAAAAGGGAACCCGAGTGCACTGCTGGTGGGAATGCAGACAGGAACTATGGAAAACAGTATGGACTTTCCTCAACTGCCATTTGACTCAGTGATCCCACTTCTAGGAATATATACTAAGAAACAAGAAATATCAAGCAGAAAGAATAGATGACCCCCCCCCCCCCCAAGTTCACAGCAGCATGATTCACAATAGCTAAGATCTGGAAACAGCCCAAGTGCCCATCAGCAGATGAGTGGATAAAAAGCTGTGGTTCATTTATACCATGGAATATATGCAGCTGTAAAAAAGAATCTCTTACCCTTTGAAATAGCATGGAGGGACCTGAAGAGCATTATGCTAAGTGAAAAAAGCTAGTCGGAGGAAGAAAAGTATCACATGATCTCACTCACATGTAGAATGCAATAAACAAAGTGATGAACAAAATAGATCCAGAGACATAGAAATATAGAACAATCTGATGAATCTCAGAAGGGAGGCAGGGGTGGGAGGGTAGTAGGAAGAGATTAACCAAAGAATTTATATGCATATATGCATAACCCATGGACACAGACAATAGTGTGGTGAAAACCTGGGGTGGGGAGGGTTAGAAGAGGAAGAGGGACATCTGTAATACTATCAACAGTAAAGATAAATTTTTTAAAAAATTGCCTTCATCATCATCTCTCTCCTTTCCTACATACTCACACCATAAACATTAGATGATCAGGAGAATTTTCTCTTGCATAAAAGACGGTCTATATTAGAACTTGAGAGAAAGAATTCTATAACAGCTATAAAAGTTTTTTTTGTTTGTTTCCTGTGTTCTCTAAAGTTCTTAAAGGGTTGTGAATCAACTTAAAGGACTTTTCATATAAATCAGTTTATGAAGTAGGTCTACGAGGCATCTAACTGGCTTTCTGGCTGGAACACTCACCAATTCTCTGTAAATTGGGTCCAAGGTAAACCACAGAGCCACAGCACATCTCTGGCCCTTGGTGACAGCCTTCACCCCATGCGGGTTCTCCCCTCCAGATGAGAAGCTGATCATTCGTCCACACTTTGGTTTGATAGAAGCCTGAGAAAAAAAGTGAAAATCAGACTCTCAATTCCTGTGTCACAACATCTCTACAACCCCATTCTTTATCCTGTGGGAGTGTTTGGTTCAACTGTTGAGTCAAAGAATAATGGAATCCGGAGGTTGAAAAAGACACAGATTATTTCAATTGCCTCATCTGTAAAACAAAGGTAGGTCAAAATAATGCTAATTCAGAAAATAAAATTATTCAGGTGAAGGCCTCCGGTGGGGGGCAGGGGCTGGGTAGAGTAGGACAAAGGGGGACATCTGTAATACTGTCAACAATTTAAAAAAATGTCTGAGGCCCTGTGTGTGTGTGTGTGTGTGTGTGTGTGTGTGTGTTTTCACGGGAAGAGCAGAGAAAAGGAGTCAGTTTCCAGTTCTTTTTTTAATTTTAATATATCTTTATTGATTTCAGAGGGGAAGGGAGAGGGAAAGAGAGATAGAAACATCAATGATGAGAGAGAATCATTGATCAGCTGCCTCCTGCACACTCCTCACTGAGGATCAAGCCCACAACCCAGATACTGGCCCTTGACTACATTCAACCTAGTACCCTTTGATCCACAGGCTGATGCTCTATCTAATAAGGCAAATCAGGTAGGGCCTGGTTATTATTATTTCACAATAATGAGGGGTGATTTGTCTTTGCTAGGGAAAGTTGCTTATGTTAAACAGCTTGACCACAAAAATTTTTCTGATGTCAGTCTAGAGGGTTTAGTAGGTACGCTCAGTATCTATCTGATTTCATTTTTCTGAAGAATAAATATATTGTGCATTTCCAAATAATACCAGCATAGTAAATAATACCCAATGTATATAGCATAGGATGGTGTTAAGACCTGGTTTCAGGTTTTCTGGCTGCTCATCCCCTGGCACTGGTCAGGACTCACTCAACACACAAGATTGCTGTCACTTCTGTGTGATTTCTGAATCTCAGCATCAGCTTCTTACAATACTTCTTACAAGAAAGGGCATGAGGATAATGGTACGCTTTCACTCTGGTGGAGAGGGAGGTTGGAAAGCATTTTTACACATGAAGAACTTTGGGAAAGTTTAGGAAAAGAAGCTGTCAACTGCCTGAAGCAATTGGAATTGACTACAGGTATGTGGACTCACAAAGTCTCTGGGACTAATGTTACCAGATAGATAGCCTCACCTGTTACATAGCAGGTACATGGAGGTATGGACAAGCCCAATTGATGACTGCATCTGTAGGATAATACATTCTGAAGTATAGATAAGTAATTGTAAACATACTATGGAACACAGCTCCAGAGTTATTTTAATTTTTTGAAATTTTATCTTTTGGAAACTTGCGCAGAGAAACCCAAATCCCTAAATACCTATATTTCACAGATAAATGTTGCTGTTGAAATAATCCATGTATCTCCCAAGTATAATAAAAGCAAAGGTCTTTTGCTTTTCACTTAACAGCTGATGACATGCCAGAGAAACTTTTGACTGGAGTAAATGTAAACCTTTAGTCACATTCAGTTAATTATATTATTTCCAAATTTTTCAAAAATAAAGATGCTACCCCTGTGTAGTCCCAAACTGAGTTATTTCCCTACTTCATCTGTCTCTCCAGAGGCAAAGGGGGGAAGCTGAAAAGGAAAACTACCCAATTTCTCTTTGCTATTGGGATCAGTTACCTAGGAGTTTTGATTACCTAGAAAATTAGAACTCTACCACATAAATTCATCTGAAGTAGAAATAATTTGGGAAAGTAAAACTCCTAACTTGGAGATTTTGAAAAAAACTGTTTAAAACATGTTTTTCTTTTACTTTTGAGGGGAAAGAATAGTTAAAGTCAGTAATTTTATTTTTATTTTTTAAATAAATCTTTATTGTTCATATTATTACAAATGTTCCTCTTTTTCCCCCCTCCATTGAACCATTAAAATAGAGTATTATCTACTTTCACATAATTAAAAAGCAGAATAACAATTAATCCACTTATATGTAGAATCTAGTGAACAAAATAAATTAACAAACAAAAACAGACTCAAAGATACAAAGAACAGACTGACAGCTGTCAGAGGGAAGAAGGTTGGGGATTGGTTATAAAATGTAAAGGGGTTAAGAAAATAATAGCACCACCCATAAGCTCACAAAACAGTATGGTGATTACCAGAAGGAGAAGGGGAGAGGGGAGGTAGAAGAGGGTAAAGAAGGGATAAATGGTGATGGAAGAAAATTTAACTTTGGTGGAACATTGGTCTGAGGACTGAAAGGTCCCGGGTTTGATTCCAGTTAAGGGCATGTACATTGGTTGCGGGTACATCCCCGGTGGGGGGTGTGCAGGAGGCAGCTGATCGATGACTCTCTCTCATAGATGTTTCTAGCTCTCTATCTCCCTTCCACTCTGTAAAAAATCAATAAAATATATTTTTAAAAAAAGATTTAACTTTGGGTGGTGAACACAATACAATATACAGATTATGTATGGTATACCTGAAACCTACATACTTTTATTAAGCAATGTCATCACAACAAATGCAATAAAAATTATATATATATAAATTAATATATATTATATATATTATATATATTATATATAAATAATTATATATATTATATATAAATAATATATTATATATTAATAATTATATATATATATATATATATATATATATATATATATATATATATATATAAAAATCCCTGAATACTGGGAGGAAATCTAGTTAATAATGAATGAATTACTGATTCAGAGGCTATTCCAGTCATCACTTTCAAACACTGAGCATTTCCAAATCTGGCCACGAGGTGGAGTAGAAGCAAAGAAATCTTTCAACAACCGGTCTGATTTTCTTTCCACCTGGGCAAGATGCATTTTTGAACCTCAGTTTCAGTGTTAGCAGAGCTCAACAATCAAATCCTTCTGCACAGAAGCTCTTCAAAATATGAGAATTTTGTATAGTGATTTTAAACTCCAACCCAGACCTTCCGTCTTTATTTAATTTCCCAGATAATGAAGCATCACACTACTCCCATGTTAGTTATTTAGATTTTATCAGAAAGTGTAGGCACCCTAGCCTTTTAAATATACATTATTATATTAAATTTTATTAAATATTATTTCTTAATTATAACAATGTGCCTGGACAATTTTAACCAGAATCTTTATATTTCTTCTTTTACAGTAACATACAGGTTTTGAATACCATCTGCTTATGGTATAGCAGTATGTCAGTAATGATAAATGACTGTTTCATTATTTTTAAAAACACATTGTTATTGATTTTAGGGAGAGAGGAAAGGATACAGAGAGAGAGAGAGAGATACATCAATGTGAGAGAGAAACATCAATTGGTTGCTTCACGCACACACCCTGACCAGGGATCATACCTTCAACCTGGACATGTGCCCTGACTAGGAATCAACCAGCAACTTTTCAGTGGTGCTTGAGATAACACTCAACCTAATGAGTCACATTGGCCATTGGATGGCTGTTTCACTATTAATAAAAATATGTAAATTTTGAGGAGAAAACCATAAAACTAAGAAAATGTTATGGAAATAGCATATGTAATGCAAAATCCTTAAAGTTTATCACATACATGTCTCAACTATTTATATTTTGTATGGAGAAAAGAGATATCTCATAATCTATTTATAATTGAACTAGAGGCCCAGTGCATGAAATTTGTGTATGGGTAGGGTACCTAAGCCTGGCAGGTGATCAGGGCTGATCAGGGCCTTCTGGCTGCTGGCCAGGACCTCCCTTCCCTGGCTGCTGGCTGCTGGCTGGGGCCTCCCTTCATTCCGTGCCATCCCCTGCTGGTCGTCACATGTCTTAGCAAGTGATTGGTCTTTTGGTTGAATTCCCGTGGGGACAACTTGCATATTAGGCTTTTATACATAGACTAGAGGCCCAGTGCATGAAATTCGTGCATGGAGGGGTGGTGTCCCTCAGCCTGGCCTGCACCCTTTCCAATCTGGAACCCCTGTTATAATCTGGGACTGCTGGTTCATAACCACTCACCTGTCTGCCTAACTGATCGTCCCTAACCACCTCTGCAGGCCTGATCGCCACCTAACTGCCCCCTGCTGGCCTGATCACCCCCAATGCCCTTCCCTGCTGGCCTGATGGCCTCTAACTGCCTCTGCCTCAGCCTCCACTATCATGGCTTTGTTCAGAAGGAAGTCAGATGTCCGGAAGATGGCCAGTCACCCAGGCTAATTAGCATATTACCCTTTTATTAATATAGATTATCTTGTCAATTGGAAAACCTGCTTTTCTACCATAAGTATCCTCTTTACTGAAAGACCAGAGCATGCTGCCCATGTGGTCTGTATGTACTCTGCAAGTTGCTTTCCCAAAGGCATCAGTTGGCTTAGGAAGATGGTGGTAAATTTAACTTTTGATTTTTACCTATGAAGGTATGTTTGGAATCTCATCCAAAACATGTCATGTGGCCAGATATACAAACGTGTGCATTTTTGAATATCAATGTTCAGATATGGGTTTATTTGCAATCACAATCATAAATATGCACTCACACATTCACACCAATATACATACATACAGAGATAAATGTGCACATATTATAGCTCTTGTATCTTGGATCTGATGGCCAATAATCAATCCAAGTATGTACAACACCAGGTTATTTGAAAGTCACTCTATGGAATCACTTGACTTGTCCTAGGCTTGAGTGACTTAGGAATTAGTGTATTTATGTTTCCACCCCATTATAATAAGAAGACCAAGGTTCTGTTTCCAAGTCTAACTTAATTTATATGAGGATCAGGAAATCCTTAATATTTCTATTCTTCAATTTACCAATCTTAATATTTCTATTCTTTAAATTACCCATCTAAAATGGACAGGAAGATTTCTATTTTTGAAGGTTACATTTCTAACATTTTACGATGCATAAATTTACTGAGATTCTTTGCACCTCTTGAATTCTTGATCTCAGAAATACTTAAAATCTAACTGTCTGAGTCCTTGGAAAATGGCAAAACTGAGATTAAGAATAGTAAATAAATATGCTAGAGAATAGGTATACTTACCATGGATACAGATAATAGCATGGGGAAGGTCTGGGGAGGGAAAAGGGTTTGGTGGGGGGGGGGGGGGAGGGAGAAGGCAGAAAAAATGGGAGATATCTGTAATATTTAAACAAAAAAAAATAAAGAATAGGTTTACTTACAGTCACAGTCTTGGCATCCATTTCAGTGAATATGAATTCTCCTCCTTCAAAGTCATCATTCATGTAGAGCAAAGCACTATACAAAGAAAGGGGAATCATTTGTACTGTTAAATGCTTACAACATTATTACCACAGAATACTAAAGATTTATGATGAACTTGCTGAAAGTTTCCTTTGAACTAGACATTGAAATAATTGACCCTTCTAACCTTTCAAGAGTAAGATCGGATGTAGTTTGGATCATACCCTTGAAGTATTTATTCCACTTACATTAATTTTTAATTATAGTTTAAAGCTCATCTCACATTTCACTTCCTTCAAAGAAAACCTAACTGGATTTAATCTAGCCATTTGAACCTGCCCACACTACTTACAACTCTTCTTTCCTGTCATACTAGTAACTCTACAGAATGTATTTTTTCCTTAACTAGCTGGAGAACACCAAGAGGTTTAGCTTAGCCTTGCAGATAGAGAGCGCTCAATAAAAGTTTTTGTATAGAGCACGGAGTAACAATAATTCACACACTGTTACCTATATGGTGACTACAAATCCTGACTCTTCTCCTTACACACAAAAAATATCTTTCAATAAGAGAAAACATTTTTCCCACTTGATAAAATGCAAATATAGATAAGTGATGTGATAAGATCCATCTGCATAAAGGATATGTTTCAGTGAATGCTAAGGGATCATATATATGTATATATGTATTTATATTATAAAAATGGGCATTTTTGGGGATATGATATGAAAAATATGCATGCATTTTTAAGATTAAAATATGAGATTAAGTCACTTCTGAATTGTGACAGCTGCTTCAAAAAGTTATTTGAGACTCTGTGGCGATGAATGTGATGACAAGCAAAAATGATCCGCTTTCTAGTTTCCATGGGTTTTTGGTAACTGTTGGACAAAAGCTTGGCTTTGCAGCAGGTGCTGGCTATACCTATAATCCCGGAATGTGTAAGCAGGAGGCTCCTTCCAACATTCATTGGCCTCTGGATCCAACAGGCAATTATCAGCATGGATGGGATGACTGAGGTCATTTCTTTTATCCTGTTGACCTACCAGGAGAGGAAACAAGGAAGAATGAAATAAGGAGAGTGTTAACCTACAGCAAAATGGACCATCAGACTGCCTTCTCCCATTGCTGGTGCCCTTGTCAATCTGAAATTATAGAAAGCCGAACAGACAGATGAAGGAACACTGGGCGAGCAGTCAAGAGACTCTACTTTGGCCCCACTTTGATATGAACCTGATGTAAAACTGAGCAAGTCACACTTGCTGCTACAGCTATAGAAGTTATCTGATATAAAAAAACATTTCATGCATTTCATAGGTTGTACTTCATGGGGAGCAGTGATAGGAGGAGAATGAAATTAAAATGTTTTTTTTTAAAAAAAGATTTGATTCAATTGAACTGTCTTAAGTGTAAAAGTCTTGCCCTGTAACGTTATCCATTCCCTCCTACTCTGGAGTGGTAGAAGGGGAGGTCTAAAGAAGAAATAATGATAGCACATGTGAGGGGGTCTCTAACTTTTTAAGAATATTTATTTCAACAATCCCTTCATCTTCTACACTACCATTCAATGCTTATGGATGTAATATGAGACTAATTTCTAGGTTCCTAGTTCCCTGAAAAATAAAATCTAGAATAGAAAATAATTTTTCTGTGCAAAAGAAAGTAGGAGAAGTTTATGTAAATGGGGGGAAAGGTAAACTTGATAGCTCTTATTTTCCCTTTCCTCTTTTTCTCCTTTTTTTATCCCTAAAGTACCAGTGATGGTCTGCTGGTACTTTAGGGATAAAAAAAGGATAAAAAGAGGAAGGGAAAATAACAGATATCAAGTTTATTTTGTTTTGGAAATTTAGAACTCTTCTAAACCATTTGTCTAACATGTAATGGAATTTTGTTGAGTATTGTTGTCTTTCTCATCTCTCTGTGGGTAGAAGGAACAAGTGAAGACTCTGAAATCTCACCAGACAGGGCTGTTCGACAGACCATGTGTGTGTAGGAAAAATACAGGGTTGAGTTCAGCATGAAATAGGATTCTACAATCTTTCGAGCCTTCTCGCTGATGTCATAAAACAGACGGGCACTCTTCAGTGGGACTCGGCCTTCATAACCAAACTGAGGAAAAAGGAGAATATTAGATATCATGGGGTTGGTTGGAGAGCTTGAGAAAAACAGATGCTAGGTTTCAGTCAGCCAAGGTACAATGGTCATCTCTGCATTCATTAGTGAGGATACTCTACATGCTTGTGGATTTGGGTTAAGAAAATGAACCATTGAAATGAGCCTTCCTAATCACAGAGAGAACATTAAGAGCTAATCACTCTCTTTTCTCTCATAACACTCTCCTTATTCCTCTCTTACAATAGTTCTTGAAATATGGAACGATTACTTGTTTGGGTATATTTTCACCATTGGATCATGAGTTCCTTGAGAAAAGGGTGGCAAGGGGGGATGGGAGCTGTATGTTATTGGTCAAATATAAGTTTGATAAATAGATGATAAATAGATAAATGAATAAGGATTTAAAGTGATGCAGATGCCATTTCATACGTGCGCCCTTCAACTGTCCTAATAAAACTATATTCTAAGCTCTTTTTTTTTCCTGTGCCTGCCATTCACAGAAGTTCCTGAATTAACACTTAAAAACCCACTCCCCAAACAAGTTAAGACTTTACTTTGAGTGCTTTCAGGACAGTTGCGCCTTCAAACTTTTCATTGGGTGTATGAGGTGAAGTTTTTCCTCTGTATCCATCACCAACAATCATGATTCCCTGAAAGACAAGATGTTTTCTTAATGATAACTCTGAATGCATCAGGTCTTCCTTTCTGCCTTGATTTCCAGGAAGCTAAGAACCAAAGCCATCCCCATTTTGTTTCCAGGATCCTGGTATCATTCATTCTTCTAAGCAAAAGGGATATACTAGTATTTATTTAACTTTTACACTCTATTTTTATTATAAAACACCACCACTTTTTGTGGAAGTATGTAGACTCAAAATGATTAATATATTGGTTGTTGATTAAAATAAAGGGATTTCTCAGTAACTTTATATGGTAGATAGGGTCCATGCTGGATGATGGTTGTCCTAGGAATTTAGCTGCCAACTACTCCAGATCCACTAGCTATATTCAAATCTGGATAAAACTAAAGTCATCTCAATGCAAAGGCTATGAAAGTGCCTATACAATCAATGACCTTCTCCCAGAGAAAGTGACATTGCAGGCCTGGTTCTCTGGCTCCGGGTGAGACCAGAATCAAAGCACTTGCAGGCTTCCAGTAGTCCAACATAGTCAGGCCCCACCCTTCCGAGGTCCTCACACTGGCCACACTGTGCAGCTCCCGGCATTGATCTTCTGACAGGACATTATCCAGAAGAACCCGCTGAGTCCCGTTCAGCTGCTCTGAGTTGTAGACGAAGGTGATGTTCTCGTAGATCAGAGGGCCACCTGAAGGAACATAGCACATTGTCTTCTCTGTTACCTCTGTCCATGAGGGGAAGCACAGAACACCCACCAGCTAGCAATGTGCAGCTGAGGAGAGCCAGTACCTTCATGAATATTTAGGACTGCTTTGACAAATGACAAATACAGAATTTGAAAAACAGTGTGGATTCAAGAAAAGGGCAGCTGTGTGGCTTCCTGCAGGCTCCTCTCTCTCCCTAGATAGGGTCCACAACTTTATCAAACTGTCACACACGCTCTTCGAAGAATGATGCATTTGGGCCATGTTTAGGTGGTGAAATGATAAAATCTGGGTCTTTTTCTCACAGAAAGTAGGATTAAAGGACAAAACCTCTGATGTTGAGGAAATCTTCAAATGTAACCGAGTGTAACCATCTGGATTTGAACCAGAAAAGTGAACAGAAAAGAAAAACACTGTTTTTTCTATTCTTTTCAGTACTCCTAAGGGACCTGACATTTACCTGTCAATAAAAATAACTCGACCCAGAGGGAGTGGTGGGAGGGCACAACTCCTCCCTTCCTCCCATGGTGGCCAAGCAATGGTCTTGAACATGCAGGTCTCAAACATGTCAGTTGAAGGGAGAAGAGACAATTGGTGTCCACTATATCGCTTTAAAATAGATTAGTCAAATTAGAGAGCAACACTAAGTGTTTATTAATCTAGTTAGGATAAAAGAATCACTATAGCCTACAATTAAAGGAATTGTCTGCCATTCACAGAAGATCCTGGATTGACACTTAGGAATCCAACTAAACTCAAAACAAATCAAGACCTTACTTTTAAAGTAATGAGGTAGTATTTATCAGTCTTGAGTAATATATGGTTATGTGCTAAAGCAAAAGTTCCCTAAGGAACTATGATGCTGACAAAAATTATTTATACTATAATTTTACTTCCATATTTGCAATTATAAAATTATGAAAACAGTATTTATTTTTATGGTTTCATAATACAGAAAACAATTTACAAGATTAAGTAAAAGCAAGACCATAAACCAAATAAATTAAAATAAGCAATATTAATGAAATGAAACAAAAAAGTTTACAGAAACAAAAAAGCTACATTCCTCATGAATATTCTACTATCTGATCTGGTCAAGATTTTTTGAGGCAACGTTCCTCTATACTTTTGGTGTGTAATGACTCACTTATTCTACCACAACTTTTCTCTATTGAAATTACGACAAATCTTAGTGTACCATGATGAATTTTGGTCTTCAACTGGTCCTCATACATTATTTAAAATTTGTACTACTTTATTTCTTATTAGTTTTCAACCATTGAATATTATTAACTGCTGCCAATGTGATGGTAACTGCACCCATATTATGGAGGTGTGAAATCTCATGGGAGTACTTGGCTATAAGGTGGTTATTCAGATGTCCCACTAGTTGCCTCTCTTAATATTTTTAAATTGTCAACAAAATTGATTATGATAGAATTTCTTGGCTTTTAGGAATATATGTATAAGCTCCCAATTTCAGTACAAATATTTTGGATGAATAGAAAATATATATATTTTTTCCCTACAGTTCAATGTTTCTCAAACTTTTTTCTATATAAAGCTTTTGATGAAAAAGTAGTTTTTTTTGTTGTTTTTTTTTTTTTAATATGAAATGCTTCGTGAATTTGAGTGTCATCCTTGTGAATGTGGAAGTTCATTAAAACATTTTACTTTCACAGGAGATGCTCAGACCCAGTATGCTTTAAGGAAGAGAAATATAAAGGAAATCTATTATGCTTCCTTCTGTTGTGAAGGGGCCATACTAATCTTCTCTGTATTTTTCCAATTTTAGTATATGTGCTGCCAAAGCGAGCATGAAAAATAGTTTCTAGCTCAAATGTGTTTGGGAATTACTGAGTTAAACCAAATTTAATAGGAGTTTTTAGAACATGCATTATAAATATCCTAAGTATCAATATAATATGTAGTAATTCTCACCCTTAATTGAGCATGTTATCCTCCCTCCCTCCCTCCCCTTCTCCCTCCTTTCCTCCCTCCCTCCTTTCCTCCCTCCCTTCTTTCCTTCCTCCCTCCCTTCTTTCTTTCCTTCCTTCCTTCCTTCCTTCCTTCCTTCCTTCCTTCCTTCCTTCCTTCCTTCCTTCCTTCCTTTCTTCCTTTCTTCCTTTTTTCCTTCTTATGGCAGAGAGACTCCAAGATGAACCCTAATGATCACTGCCTCCTAGTGTTCATAGGCCTGTGTAATTTGCTTCCCTCGAGTGTGGGCGGGGATTGGATATTGCTTATAACCAATAGAATATGGAAAAAGTGATGGGATGTCATTTCTGTGATTGCATTGCATAAGATTACAACTTCTATCTTGCTAGCTGACTCAGTCTATTACCTTTTCAGTTTGTAATTTGATGCAGCAAGTGACTGTATTGGACAGGCTCGTAGGGCAAAAAATTGATGGGATCTTCTAGCCAAAAATCAACTAGGGCCCTAGCTGGTTTGGTTCAGTGGATAGAGCATTGGCCTGTGGACTGAAGGTCCCAGATTTGATTCTGGTCAAGGGTACATGCCCCAGTTGTATGCTCAATCCTCTGTAGGGGGTATGCAGGAGATAGCCAATCAATGATTCTTTCTTATCATTGATGTTTCTATCTCCCTCTCCCTTCCTCTCTGAAATCAATAAAAATATATTTAAACAAACAAACATAACAACTAGGAACTGAGAACCACAGTCAAATAAGCTTTTAAGTTCCAAATTCTGTCATCTGAACTTGGAAGAAGATAGTTTCTCAATCAGCCTTAGAAGAGATGCCAGCTTGTAAAGGTCTTCAAGCAACAGCTCCTAGCTAAGCTATTCCTAGACTCCTGGCCCCAAGAAACTGAGAAATAGTAAATATATGCTATTGGAAGCTGCTATATTTGAGCTAAATTTTTCATAGCAATAAAAATTAACAATAGTAGACTTTCTCTCCCATCATGGAACTTCTTAAAATAAAACACAGTTTGCTTAGGGAAGGTTACTCTAATCTATATAATTGAATAAGATCCATAACCAAATTGAGGCTATCTCTCAAATATTTGGAAAAGTCAACTGCATATTCCAATCTCATTTAGAAATATAAAAACATTTTCTTCCAACAAGAAAGACAAGATACTCATAGGTTCACTGAAAGCATTTTCTAACATAAAACTTAATTAGAAATGGAAGACAAAGAGTTTAGTGAATTTCATTGGTTTATACTTTGCCATGTTTATCTTGTTTTCTATATTGAGATTGTATTACTTTAAATATAATTTGATTTATTTTAAAAATATAACTTTAAAAGTTACCAAAACTAAATAAAACACTTAGAAAAATGCCTACTATTCTTAAGCTCCATATAAGTATTTACTATTACTATAATGATTGTTTTTTAATTAGTAATATATGCCTAATATATTGTATTAATTCTGACTGAGTCATCTTAATAAGCATAATGGAGTATATTTAAAAGAGAGCTACTGAGCCTTGGCTGAGTAGCTCAGATGCTCGGTGCATTGTCCCATACACCAAAAAGTTGTAGTTCAATTCCTGGTCAGGATTCATACAGGAGGCAACTGAGAGATGTTTCTCATATAGATGTTTCTCTCTTTCTTCCTCTCTCTCTCTAAAAATCAATAAAAATGTGTAAGGATTAATAAATAAGATAAAAGAGAACTACTGAGATATTGACAATTCCCCTAACCATGCCATAAGTAACAACATAGATCAAGTGAAGGAGCAGAATGCAAATGGAGTCTTAAATGCCTAAACTCACAGGTTCAGACAGAATCTGTACTAGAAAATTGCCTTATATGCAGCTGACACTGTCACCACAATGAAGTTTTATTCAGGGGTTTCTCACACATACATTTAACCAAAAGACAACCAACTACCCACTCACTAACCAAAAGGAAAAAAAGAAAAAAAAATCCTGCCATTCAAAAATGCAAGCCAACCAGCCTACAATGACTAGTAGCACACCAGACAGAGGAAAATATTAAAATAAAATAAAATTAAAAAAAAAAAAACGTAGTCCAGTAAGTTGTGGTTCCTGGGCCTGATTTGATAGCTTCAGCCAACTCTTAACCACAGCCCAAAGGGATCTCAACAACTTAATTCTTTTCTCATTCATAAAGTATGTGCCTGGCTCCAACTCTCCATTTGCAATAAGGACGGATCATTCAGGAAAACACCCTTCATGCTCAATGTCTGTGGCTCATAGAAAGAAGAATCATTTTGCCGTAAATATCTCAATGTCATAAAGGCATGACAGGGGTATTATGACTAACAAGCCCTTATATGAGCACAACCTTTTAAAGTTTACAAAAGACTTCATATTCATCCTCTCCAACAGTGACTACCCTTTTGTACCGATGGGGAACATAGGGCCCTGAGAGATTGAGTCTCTAGTTATCCATCATTTCAGAGCACGCAAAACTGAGGCAATCCAGGAAACCTAGTCTCCTGATTTCAAGTCCAAAAGTTCTACTAGAACCCACTGGCTCTGGGATTATCATCGAGCAGGACCTTTGGAAAACTGATGGCTAAAAGAGGACTAGATAAGTAACAAATGTTTGTTGGAAGTTGACATGTATGTTCCATGGACTAGAGTCATCCGGGCCACTCCCATCTTAATACTTGGGAGCTGTCCAATATCAATATGACTAACTGCTCTTAGATAACCAGAGGAGATGACAATGTCTTTGTGGAAAATGTGAAAAGCTGAAACACATTCTACTCTGTGAAGCATGCTTCCTTTCTTGTCTCCCTGACACCTGCTTTCAGCCAGGCTATGATAGGAAAGTGTTTTCTGGTTGGTACTTTGCCTCTGTCTACCACTGTTCTTAATTTAGATACTATTTATGTCTCTAGTGACTGCACAGAAAGTTTTCCAGTGGATTCCCAGAGAACATCTTAAGATCCATTGGCCTAATTCAACTAAGCAGAAATGATAAAATTTGGTAACCCAGCCAATCATGATCTTTCTCCATCCTGTGTAGTTCTCTATTCAACTTTTCCCATTAATCTTCCTCATCAGTTGCTGGACATCAAATTCCTTGGTAGCCAAAAAAAAAAAAAAAAAAAAAAAAAAAAAAAAAAAAAAAAAAAAAAAAGGCTTAAAATTTGGCAACTCTTCTGGAGTTTCCCAAAACTTTACAGCAAAGTTCTGGCTTATTGTCACGTACTTCCTGGGTGACTTCTTGGCTTAAAAAGCAGCATGAACTCTGGCTGACCATGAAACACTTATGAAACAGCTTGGGCTTTGTGGTTACAAATTAAGGTCTGGGTCAGATTAGATGATCATATTATCCTGTTTACTACCTCAAACTGACTCGGAAACTAAGGAAGGAAAGGGCTGGGAAATATGAGCTGTAGAGAGCCAGTAGTTTTCAAATCAGCTAGAAGAATGTGCTGACAAGCTTCTTTCTGGGAAAGTAGTACTGTACTTCCTCTCCATGAGAGTTTCTTCAATTACTTAATTTGGATTATTTTGGATATCTAGAAACTTCTATGTTCCATCTTCAAGTGAAGAAGAGAAAATGGGGGTTTGATTCAAAAGCCTGGGCTTAAATGCCTGCTTAACCTATTCTGATCTATGAGACTTTGAACAAATCACTAAATGTCTGTGAGGCTGGTTTTTCTTGTCAATGAAGTAGGGATACTTTTCGCAAATGAGATGCTGCCTTTACCAAAAGGAATTGTGTGTATTATAGGGTGTTTGATTGTCTAATCACTATGCTGTACACCTGAAACTAATACAAAATAGTATCAGATGTAAAAATTTTTAAATAAATACAATAAAATGCTTTGTACATTAATTTGCTTAAAATTTTGTTTATTTTAAGTAAGCATATGATGCTTTACTTTCTCCATTTCTGTGCCTTTGTTCCATTTGTTTTACCCACTAGAATGGCTTTCTTGACATCTGTCAATTCAACCTAAATTCTACTTCTCTCTCATAGCCTTGATTAGATATACATGACTCAAACATTTTAGATGAACTAATCTAACATTCCATGCAAGCTGCCTCTTTAAGTTCTTCTGATACATAGTCTATTCTAAACTATCCAGCACTACTCACTCACTGTATGACAAAAGTGAGCCATGTGACCTTTCTAAGCCTCAGGTACCGAACTGAGAATGGCAATGATAACACAGCTCCTACCCGTCTCACAGGATTCTTGTAGGAAACAGAAAATCCTTTTACTGGAAACTAAAAGTAATGATATATAAATCGGATATATTCCTGTTTTTTAGCCTTGCTTTCAGAATTTCATGAATTATAGTAGCTTAGTCTTTTTTTCCCCCCATAGAAAGCAGGTTTTGCCTTGATCTGAATAACAACTGGTCAATTCCCATTCTACCCTTACCTTCCTTCTAAGAGTTAAAGTGCATAGATACTTACCCTCTCTTAGGTCTCGATCTATCTTGGGTGATGTTTTTTTCCCTACTGACAATCCATGAACTTCTGCTCCTTCCACATTCACTCCTGAAGGAACCCTGCTTATTTAAAAGTGGAAATGGCAATTTCTCATTGAATAAAGATGTTCAAAAGCAAAAATACTTTACCCAGGTACTCTGTGACTTCATATTTTATATGCTCATTGTACGGAAGTCTACCTATCTTTCAAGATCAAATAAAATGTCACTACCTTCATGAAGTACTTTTAAAAAATATATTGATGAGAGAGAGAGAGAGAGAGAGAGAGAGAGAGAGAGAGAGAGAGAGAGAGAGAGAGAGAGAGAGAAAGAGAGAGAGATAACCCTAGTGTATCAGCACAACACTCCTAACAACTTAGCTACTGGAAGTTCATGAAGTTCTTTTCTATTCCTTCATGAGTGTGTTCTATTTCACTTCTCTAAATCATCTTAGCAATCATTTCTACAACTAATTGTATCCATTACTTAACCCCCTTAATTTAAGACTTTGAATCACAACCAATCTGGAAAAAATTATCATGTGCATCTATATAATGCTTAGAGTGTCACATTATATGTCTTGAACATAGAGTGTTCATCACTGAACAATAGTTAAACTAAAATAAATCACGTTCTAATGTAGTGGTTCTCAACTATTCCAAGAAGGAAGCCACAAATTTGTGTCAAACTTTGCAAACACACAAATAATAGAATGATGAACACAACCAAATGTGCATATGCATTCTTGGATCTCTTGCAATAATTCTAGGCTACCCGAGGTTGAGTCTTTGAAGTCTAGGGAAAGACCACAAGATTTTGAATAAGAAGATCTGGATGTGCTGTCCCTGTTACTGTGAGACTCTAAAGGATTCCTTTGCCTTGTCAGGTCCTCAGCTTTAGAATTTGAAAATGAATAGGCTAGTCCATGTGACCTCAGACATGTAACATCAACATTCTATGATCTCTTGAACTGTTTGTGACACGTAAGTGGACTTTTGACTCCTATCGTTTCAAAAAATGAGTTATCTTCCAATTGAGTTAGTTATCACCTAGTATTTTAGCTTACACTAAAGCTTTCAAGCTTTAGCCAAAACCAGTTTGGCTCAATGGATACAGCATCGGCTTGGGGACTGAAAGATACCCGGTTCGATTCCGGTCAAGGGCATGTACTTTGGTTGCGGACATATCCCCAGTAGGGGGTGTGCAGGAGGCAGCTGATTGATGACTCTCTCTCATCGATGTTTCTAACTCTCTATCTCTCTCCCTTCCTCTCTGTACAAAATCAATAAAATATGTTTAAAAAAACTTTCAAGCTTTATTATACTAATAAATTGTGAAAAATCCAATTTGCTCTGCTATAGAATTACAGAATGTTTAACCCTCAGAGATCACCTATTTCAATTCCTTCATTTGAGTAAAATCATGAGGCCCAAAGGGGAAAATAAATTACTCCAGGTTACACAAAAGTGACAGGAACAGCTGGGACCAGTTCCCAGTTTGGAATTCTTTTAATTATATATTTTTGCCTAGTCATAGAACTCAATTTCTTATAACAGGTCTGATTCTATATATTTCTTTTAATGAAATATAAGCAGTTAACAAACAATATTATATTAGTTTTAGGTGTACAACATAGTGATTAGATATGTGATCCTCCCGGATAAGTCAATACCCACTTGATACCATACATAGTTATTACAATATTATTGTCTATATTCCTGTGCTGTACTTTATATCCCTCTGACTATTTTCATAACTAGCAATTTATACATCTTAATTCCTCCCCCCTTTAACCCATTCCCCCAATCCTCATCCCATCTGGCAACCATGAATGAATTTTTTTTAAAGGAAAAGAAATTGTATACCTTTGAAAATATTTTAAAATTAAACAGTTGGTGTTCTGAATGGAGAACTCACCGATTCTCATCCTGTCGTCCTCCATATCGAATCCAATAGTTCTGTTTTAAATTAAATATAGCTCAGTAGTTTTGTCACTAAAAATCACTTACAGAAATAGAATACCTTTGAAATACTCAAAAGAACTATAATGTTATGAAACATTCATGTTATATATGATATTTTTTATTTTTTATTTAAAAGTAATAGAAAGGCTAAGGTTAATACAATTTTGACAAAGACAAAACAATACACACACTTTTTAAAAATATCATGAAATTATCCTGGACATCCATTAATTTGTCCAAGAAGTGATTTAGAGTTTGGTGTCCAGAAGACATTTAAAAATCATTTAGTTTAATTCTCTTAATTTTTATGAATAAAACAAACAAAAAGTTCAGCTCAATCATCTCTACAAGACAATAAAGTAACCAAGTGGCTTTCCCTGGGGTCTCAAAATAATGCAGTTTTGAAAGAAAAAAAAATCCTTTGTAGGGTTAGATAAAACTATTAGAAATATTGCATTAGAATTGATAAATTAGCCCTAACTGGTTTAGCTCAGTGGATAGAGCATCGGCCTGTAGACTGCAAGGTCCCAGGTTCGATTCTAGATAAGGGGCATGTACCTTGGTTGCAGGCACATCCCCAGTAGGAGGTGTGCAGGAGGCAGTTGATCAATGTTTCTCTCTCATTGATGTTTCTAACACTCTCTCCTTTTTTCTTTGTAAAAAAATCAATAAAATATATTTTTTAAAAAGAATTGATAAATTAAAATTAAACTAATTTTTAAATGTGCCAATAATACATGGTATAACTAGGATACAAATGAAAAGAATATGTTACAAATAGGATATTTTGCAAATAGTGCTTTTCATAAACATATGACATGCAAATTATATAAAGAACATATATAATAGCTAACAGATAAAAGAACAAAAAGTACATCCAGACAATTCAAAGTCGAGGAAAAATAATTAATAGTATATGAAAAGTTTGTTTATAGTGACCATCAAAGGAATACAAATGAATGTAACAATGATGTGCCATTTTGTATATAATATATAATTAATACATGTTATTTTAAAATGTTATTTATCATTGCTGAGATGTTTGTAGTAAACTAGTATTTTTATGCATTGCTAGGAGCAATACAGGTGTCAGAAACCATTCTTAGAAAAGCAATTTTAAGAACTTTAAGACTTCTTACATCCCTGAATGGCAGACTAATCCCATTCTTGGGAATTGATTCAAACGGTGTAGTTCAATACAGAGGAAAAATGCTTAATGCATTAAGTATAAGAGAAAACAAATCAAATGTTCAGCATCATGAGAAGAGTTATTTATTGGACATAAACTATATATGTGCAGCTAAAATAAACTGTAAAAATAAGGAAATCACTTATGATTCCTGAAATCAAAATCAAAATAGAAGCATATCTATGTGCCACAGTACTAGTTCTGCCAAAGATATATCTTCATATGAAGAACAATTAAACAAGTGAAGAAAAGATGGCATGTTGGGTACTATAATCATGAGTGATTTTGTTCTTTTTGAAGTTTTTAAAATGTTTTAAATGTTTAAGAGAAAATACAAAATGTTGCATTCATAATTCAGGAAATAAAACAAACCTGAGGCAAATGCATCATGTACAAAATACTTCACTTATACCCAAATACATTTGCTTTTGACTTGGGGTCTCATGAGTATGGGGATCTATAAAAATCTTATAAAGTTTATTTATCACTTATCCTATATAATGAAAGTGTAATATGCAAATTTCCCCTTGACTGGGAGTTCATCTGGGAGTCTGATCAGGGGTTAGGGCCAGTCAGGGAAAGGAAGGTCCTGGCTGGCAGCCAGCAGCTGCTAGGGACCCTACCAGGGCATGAATTTTGTGCTCTGGGCCTCTAGACTATATATATAAAAGCCTAAGTGTCCAACCATTCAATTGTTCAGCCAGTAGCTATGATGCACATTCACTACCAGGGGGAAGATGCTCTGACCAGTTGGTTAGCTTGCTGCTGGAGTCTGGCCGATTCCAGACAAGATGAGACAGCTGGACATGCCCTAGAGCCTCGAGCAGTCCCTCTCCAGCCCTGATCATGCCCCACTGGGGTCCCTCAGCCTGGGTTGTGCCCTCTTGAAATCTGGGACCGATTCTTTGGGTGATGTTGGAGAGCCAGTTTCGGCTTGATCCCTGTAAGCCAGGCCAAATGACCCCATGCACTGGGTCTCTAGTTTGAATAAACATTCATGCACATCCTCTTTTTGTTCAGGCAGGGGATTAAGAATTTTCAACAGCTGAAACCAGTTTGGCTCAGTGGATAGAGCATTGGCCTGTGGACCGAAAGGTCCCAGGTTTGATTCTAGTCGAGCGCATGTACCTTGGTTGTGTGCAAATCCCCGGTAGGGGGTTTGCAAGAGGAAGCTGATCAGTCATTCTCTCTCATTGATGTTTCTAACTCACTATCCCTCTCTCTTCCTCTCTATAAAAAATCAATTAAATATACTTTTTTAAAAAAGAATCTTCAACAAACAATACTGGCTAGTAAAAGTTTAAAGAAAATGTCTACTGAACAGTTCTTTAAAAAAAACACTTAATAAAGAAATTTTAAAAATAGAAATAAATAAATAAATAAATTTTAAAAATAGAAAAAAAAACACTTCCTTTTTACTCTTTGCTCTTACCGGTTCAGTGTATGAAAATCCCAGGCCCTCTGCAGCCGATTTTATTAGTTCCGATTCCAGTTTATGACGCTTCACAAACATAGCCAAATCCTAGAGGGAGAAAAAATGAAAGAAAAATTTAAATAACAATTAAGAGATATAATAGCATTTAAGTAGGAATCATTTTTATTAGACAGTGGCAATAAGGAAAAAAAAACAGAACTGTAAAAATATCTCCATCTCAACAGATTTTTACAAGCTAGTACATATAAAAAAATATGCTTTTGTCATTAACAAAGTTCAAAAGAACCAAGTTCTAGAATGTTTACTACATTTTCAGGTATATTTAAGTGCAGTGTTATATTTTTTACTAACTCTCCCTGGAGCACCTAGTAGAATATAAAACTTCTTCTCAGGAATTGATCTCACCTCTCGGGCCTCAATGGATGCCGGGTCGATGCTGTCGTCCAGCAGGCTCTCATAGTAAGCCACATTGTCTAGGACATCCTCGTCATCCGGATGGAGAAGAAGATAGGCCTTGGCACACTCTAGGGCTTTCACATATTCACCAACTGAAAGTTCAAGGAGTTGAAGTATTAGAGTCAGCTGAGGTCTGTCTAAAGGAGATATATCGATATATGTGAAAAGTCAGCATTATATGTCAATAAGGGAAGATAAGGTGAGGCTGAGTAGAGCAATCAGAAAGAGTTACAGGTAGAAGAAACATGATTTCAGATATTCAAAAGGTACTGCTTTGGTCTTCTTTGGTGCTAGTTGTTTGACATAAATTATCAAAAGTTTCCATCTGAAGATATATGTTGACAACTTATAATATTTAATACCGATACACAGAATAGAATTTTAGTAGTTAATTCTGATTTTTGTACTGATTTTGACAACATGGGGGGGAGTACCTAAGACTAATTTCAGCAATCAAAATTATGTTCAATGCCCTTAAATATAAGAAAAGATGCTCAGTCTCTTTCTCTTTTTTAGATAATGGAAATTAAACTATATTGAGATATCATTTTTCATCTAATACATTGGGACAATTTGATAATATCTGACAATTTGATAATATATTCTGTTGATGAGCAATAAAAAATGTCCTCAATGGAGAAAGAATTGGCAACATCTATTAAAATTACAAATAAATAAACCATTTAATTCGTATAATTCCATCTTATAGGTATTTATGTGCAAATGTAAAGTGAGATATGTAAAATGGTATTCATTTTATTGTTGATTATCATAACAAAAAATTACAAACAATACAATGCCCATCAGTAAAGAATCTCATGAAATAAGTTATATGATATGCAGACTGGAAGAAAAATTAATGAGGAAGGTCTGTATGTACTGATACAATTAGGTTGAATCATACAAAATCATCAAAATTGATAAGAAAATGGTAATTTCATAGGATAAACCTACTAAAAAAAGTATTATATGTTTTATTTGGTAAAGAAATCAATGTAGAGAACAGTGTAAAGAATATGCCATCTTCATTGTATAAGATGCAGAAATAAGTTAGAGTGTGTATGTGGTGTTGTCTGTATTGTTTCCATATAAACTTTTTAGAGCAATGGTTCTCAACCTTTCTAATGTCTCGACACTTTAGTACAGTTCCTCATGTTGTGGTGACCCCCAACCATGAAATTATTTTCATTGCTACTTCATAACTGTAATTTTGCTACTGTTATGAATCATAATGTAAATACCTTTGTCTTCCGATGGTCTTAGGTAACACTGCTAGCAGTTGAGAACTGCTGCTATAGAATCTAAGACCATCTAGTATCATTTTCAGGACATTATCACAGCACTAGAAGCCAGATGCACGAAGATTCATGCTAGAATAGACTTTCCTTTCCCTGGCTGCCTGCACCGCCTTTCCACTCTGGCCCAGCCCCTTTCCACTCAGGCCCTGGAGCTGCCTCTTTCTACTCAGACCCCTCCTCCCCATGCTGCCAGAGGCCCTGAGAGACCAGGAGTGGGACAGAATGCCTGCATCAATGCCATGGTAATGATGCAAGCATCCTGCCCTCATCACTCAGCAGCTGAGTATGCAAATTAACTGTCATCTTTGTTGGGTTAATTTGCATATCACTCCTGATTGGCTGGAGTTATAGCAGAGATATGGTCACTTTACATGTTTGTCTATTATTAGGTAAGATTTGCTCATTTGTAGTTTAACTTCCTGCTCCTCTTGTCCTGAGCTATGGTGATGTGAGAGGAGAGAGTGATTCTGTTACGAGGAGCAAAACCCTTGCCCCCCAAACATCTTCACGAATAACCCACGCTTTACCTCGATAATAGGCAAACTGTAGGTAGTCATAATGCAGGGGAAGAAAGTTCTCAATCGGAGAAAGGCGGCCAGGTCGGGTGGCAAGTTCCCTCACGCACTCATGCTGACAAACCAGCACCTGCACATAGTGATCTGGAAGACAAGAGCCCACAGTGGGTCCCTCCAGTCAGCTCAATGTCCAGACCTCAATTAGAGCCACAGTGACAGCAGAGCATTCCTCACCTCAGGACACCTAGGAACCATATCATTATTATCCTCACTCCACAACCAGAAATCCTTTTCACCAAGGGAGTTAAGTGACTTGCCAAGGCCTCCTAACCAGTGATCATGATAGTAATTAAGAGTAGAGTCCAGCTCTAGCCATTTTCACTCAGTGAATAGAGTTTCAGCCTGCGAACTGAAGGGTCCCAGGTTCAATTCCAATCAAGGGCCTTAAGGAAGGGGTGTGCAGGAGGCAACCAATCATTTTTTCTCTCTTATCATTGATGTTTTTATCCCTTCACTCCCTTCCTCTCTGAAATCAATAAACATATATATTTTTAAAATAGTAGGTTCCAAATATTCTGTCTGCTGGTCTTGTGTCTATACTGCACTCCTCCCTTCTGTGTACCCTGTTTTCTACACACCTCCTGAAAGTGACATAGGCCATCTTACCCCACTCACACCCAGATGAATAGTTGACTTTCCTATTATAACAACTTCAGAGCCTCTTTTCAGATATTTTAATAGGCTGGAATAGCCCAGAGTCAGAATTAGAAATTTGGGTCATGGTTTCTTTAGTTCTGGGCTCTGGCTTATGTAAGCATGAGCTGAGGAAACACAGTGGTTAATGAACCCGAGATATAAAAACAACACACTTGCTATATTTTGTCCCAATTTTGATTTTTACAATGAAGATGAAGGTAGTCTTTTCCATCAAGAGAATAGTTTTTTCAAGCTCATGCTGAGTGAGCAGGTTCTCTTGAGAATGATAACTGTACTATTTAATTTTCCACAACAGCCTTCTTTCAAAAGCTTCTCAGTTAGGCAGAGTTCAGATTGTATCTCGATGACCTTGAAGAAGAACTCCAAAACACAACAGGAAGGAAAGGTACATTAATGACAAGGTGTGTAAAAAAAGGAGTGTGCTATCCAGTCATGGTTCGATTCCTGGTCAGGGCACATGCCTGGGCATGCAGAAGGCAGTCAATTGATGCTTCTCTCTCATCATTGATGTTTCTGTCTCTGTCTCTCCCTCTCCCTTTCTCTCTGAGATGAAGGGGGGAAAAAGTTGGGGGGAGAGTGTGCTATTATTTTACATAAGCTGGCTAACTCAAGCTAATACAGCATAGCTAACAGAATCCTTGCTATCCATTGATTCTTAACTTCAGGTGAGGGAATGCGAGGGAAAGAATGAGTTCTGTTTATTTGATTAGAATATTAGAAACAAATAGCTAGCTATTTTACTTCTTAAGAAAATAACAACAAACAACCCTCAACTGTTTTCTCTTAATTAGCTGGTTATTTAGCTTTTAATACACACTCCTCATAATTCCAAATGACAAGCAAAAGGAAAAGGTGAAAAACACATCCACTGAGAACTCAAAATCTGAATAAATGTATTTTTCAAAGCAAGATATAAATAGCAGCAAAGAGTGACATAATAATATCCTTTAGGGCTTCAACAAAGATCGCTAGTAATAAATAAATGTATTCAGAAACTATTTGTATATTTCTCCATTTTTTAATGGTCTTCTAATTCTGAAAATTCAAATATTCTGGCTTTCTAAATACATTTATGTTTTAAAAGCCAGTTTTACTCCACATTTATGACAGTTTTGAACCAAAGAATTCACATAGAGTTATAATGTCACTTTTTATTAGTTGTACTCCTTGCTTCTTTCACCAAACATTATTGTGCAATTAATTTGTTTCTAATAAGTTTAGATCCAAGACTCTGTGTGGTAATACTTTTTAAAATTTCTTTCTCATAAAAATTTTTTGAATATGTTTCAAATTCCCAAGACTTACCATATGACTATAGTATATAATATTTGGCTTGAACTTAAAGAACTATGACATTTTCTTAAATCAATTTTCTTTACTGGATGTGAGCGTCACGGTGTTGGAAGTCATGTTAAGTGTTAAGAGCCTGAGTTAGGAGATGGCTCTTCTTCTAGCATGCTGTGGTGGCCTTGAGGAAATTACTAAATGTTAAGCTGTGGGGAATTGTTATTCAATTTTCCTAAACCAGATCTAGGACCTTTGCCAAGGCTGTTTAGTTGCCATTGATAGAGGCAGGCACGTGTAGAGGCAAATGTGGAAGTAGAGGGAGGACACATATCCCCACAAAGCCACAAGACAGTAAACTATAATAAAGGAAAAGTATTTCTTTGTAGAGAAACACACACCACTTAAAATGTTAAACACATGCAACTGGCATTCAAATGAGCAGTGCTCACAAAAATGCAGGCATATGGTTCTGGCAGAAGCCCCATGAAACACAACTCTGGGGAAAAATTCCTCAATAATTCAAATATTGGTACTGATTTTTAGTGAACTTAGTTGATTTAGGGCAACCGAGTGTGTGGCAAATTGGTCATTTGACATAGATTTTCAGTCCAATTTACTTGTCTAATGTAATAGATATTTCCCCAAGTGCCCCATTAACGGAACTCAACAATATATGATCTACATTTTCACAAATATGTAGTATTATTAACTCTTTTAATCTCTGCAGTATAACTGATGGATATGCCATCTCCTTCGATTATGCAGCCCATTCATGTAACACACTAAGAACCTATTATTTGTCAGTCCCTATACTTAGGCGCTGGGCACTGAGCAAGATCGGACATTAGGCAGTGATAGAGGAAAAGGATATTTGGAAGGCCTCTAAGTGGAAATGAGCTCGGCATATGCAAAGAATTAAAAGAACTACAGTAGGAATGCGTCACAAAGAGAGGATGAAAATGTAGACAAGTATGTCCTCCTTATTAAAGGTTTTGGGTTTTATTCCAAGTGCAGTGGAAGCCAAGAGGGTTTCCAGCACATCTGTGAGGAGACTTTTCCTTTCTTACGAAGACTGCTCTGCCTGCCTACAGAGTAAAACCTGAAGAGGACATAAGGACCAGCAAGGAGGCTATCATAGTGACTTAGTGAAAATATACTGTTGATTTGAAGCTGGGTGGGAGTGAAAGAGGTGAAGAGAACCAGGGAATCTTAAGTACTATTAGAAGGGAACATCTATCAAAGTTTGGTAACAAATTAGATGGTTATAGGAATTGAGGGAAATTTTGGATTGAAAGATACTTCTTGAGGTTTGGTTTGAGCTACTAGGTGAATGGTGCTTTCTACGGAGGGAAAAAACATTGGAAGTTGGGGAGTGCATACTGACTTTATGAATTTAAATTTCTATGAGTATATGTGAAGTTGAACACTATTTTTCATCTATAATAATAAAAGTGTAATATGCAAATCAACTGAATGACCAAACAACTGAAAGACTGTCCAGATGACCTTTCAGATAACCCTGTTGGGTAGGCGGGGCTACCTGGCCAGCCTCCACAGAGGGAGGCCCAGGCTGCCCAGCTGGCAGCGCTGCAGTGGTTGGGTGGGTCCTCCTTCTCTGGGGCAATTGATCTGCAGGGCAATCGATCTGGGAACCCCAGGCCAGAGGGAGGCCCAGGCCAGCCAAGCAATCGCACCCCACATATGTCACCTGCAGAGAGAGGCAACTGATGGCAAGAAATAGGTGCAAGGAGCAGTGCCACACCGATGGCAAGCAGTGGCAGCTGGCAAACAGTGGCAGCTGTGGGGTTGGGGCCAGCTGTCAACAGCCAGGAAAAGGAAAGTTCTGATAGGCCCTGATCACTGGCCAGGCCTCGGGGCCCTACCTGAGGGGTCTGGGATTGTGAGAAGGCACAGGCTGAGGCTGAGGGACATGCCCTCCTGTGCACGATTTCATGCACCAGGCCTCTAGTATTTTTTATAACTTGGAACATATTATACATTCAAGAATTATTTGTTAAACATTGTCATTGAATATATCACTCTTTGCTTATTTTTCAATTGTGTAAACCTTGAAAACATGGGGCTCCAGAGTGAGAAAAGCCTAGTCTTGTTTCTAAGTTTCACTTTAATTACATTACTTAGGCTTTCTGAGGTACAAATCCCTCACTTTTAAAAAACAAAGAGAGTAAATAACAATAATATCTACACAAGAAGTTGTTTAGAGAATTAAAAGATAAAGAAGTAAAATGCTTTGTATATTGTAACTGCTAAGTGAGTGTTTATTATTATTATTACTACTAGTAAATAATGAATAAATTACTAACTCGTAATAATTAAGAATTTAATTAAGATTAGTAACTCTTTGCCTGCAATGTTTTATTTTTTCAGTTTTTCCCACTTATCCTTTGTAAAACAGCTTGACTTATTATAACTTTTGTGTTTGTCTTATTAAGGTCTACCTTTTTCTTCATATTTCTTGTTTATTCCATGCAAAGAGCTTTTCCTCTCCTAATATTACACAATATTACTCTGTATTTTCTTCTAATAGTTTTACTTTACACCTAAATTATTAATATAAATAGAATGCATTTTTGTGTAAGGTGACCTTCTTTGGCGGGACAGTCCCGATTTTTAACAATTTGTCCCACGTCCTCCGGTGTTTAAAAAAAGTCCCAATTTCTTTCCAAAAATCGGGACTGTCCTACCAAAAGCGGGACATCTAGTCACCTTATTTTTGTGTATATTTTTTATACACCAGAAAACTCACTTCCCATCAGAAATGGTTAGCTAATCTCCTCAATTAATGTAGAATGCATATTACCTACTATTTTAAATACTACTTTTATAACACATGAAATTCTCACATATAATAGAATACCTTTTTAAATAATTAAATAAGACTATATAAAACTATTCACTACTACATTATTTATAAGAATAATAAATTGCAACTTCCTTAATATTCATCAGTAAAAAACTGGCCAAATAAATTGTGCTGTCACCAAATAATGAAACATTGTGCAACTATTAAATAAAATAAGGTAGATATCCATGTACTTACATGAGAAGAAGTCCACAGTACATTGTTAAGCATAAAATAAAACAAAAAATATACTGGTAATCAGTATTTATAGTATTGTCCTATTTTTTACAAAAAATAGAATTATCTTATATAAATGTTTAGATATGCATCTGAAATGGTTTGGGAGGGAGCACAGTCACTAAAATTTAAACTGCATAAAGTTATCTATAGCAGATAGGAGTGTTTAGATATATGAGAATCTTTCATTTCCTACAATATATATACACTTCTATGTTGTTGGAATATTTTTAGAGATTGCATGTAGTATTTTTATAATCATAAAATAAATAAAAGAAAAAAAGTAAGTTTTACCTGCAATAGCTTCATAGAGACCAGCTTTATACCTTAAATAATCATACTCTTCAAATCTCTGAGGCCCCTCACATAGGACTCGACACTCTGTATCTTCATTGAAATATTCTCTCAAAGCTTGTTCAAAATACTTGATAGCTAGCTCAAAGTCATCAGCCTCATAAAGTTTGACACCTGCACTGTAGCTCTCCTGCAAAGAAACAGAAAAACTTTTTTCTTTTTTTCAAATAGCACTTACCCACAGGGCACTTGGATAGCAGGGTTCATACAGACTCAGGACCACTGAGGTAGGTGGGATATTGGACTCCTGTGCTGTGAAAGGGTAAAAAAGGATGCACTGGGAGATAAAGTATAACTTTCCCAGTTTCAACTAATTATAGATAAGAAAGGACTTAATTGGGCAACTCGTGTGATGCCAGTCAATTCCATTTTCTTCCTGACCACACTCAAGACTATACTGTCTGCATCTGAAACCTCTATAACTCTTATAAGCAGAAGCCAACAGTAGGATTGGCAGGAGAAGCACCACAGGCTTATGAGAGGCAAAAAAGCATATAAATAGGTACAAGTGCTTGGTTTCTATGATCTAGCACTACTGGAAGAATTGAACATATATGTAACCCAGGAGGGGACGTTATAGGGGTCTTTGGTGACACCAAATCCCAAAAGGGCTTGGTCCCAGGTATGGAAAGGAGCTGAAAAAACACCTTGCTGGGGGGGGGGGCGGAGAATAACCTGTTGTTGCCAACACCCCAGGTTAATAACCTAGAGCCGTGGTCTGCAAACTGCAGCTCATGAGCCACATGCAGCTCTTTGGCTCCTTGAGAGTGGCTCTTCCACAAAGTACCACGGCCTGGGCGAGTCTATTTTGAAGAAGTGGTGTTATAAAAAGTTTAAGTTTAAAAAATTCGGCTCTCCAAAGAAATTTCAATTGTTGTACTGTTGATATTTGACTCTGTTGACTAATGAGTTTGCCGACCACTGTTCTAGAGCTAGTGTATTTACCTGGCCTCGGGAAACTCAAACTGGTACCTGCTGGTGCACTCTCTTAGCCCCATGGAGGGAGGGTCTTGCCCTGGGCTTGCTACCATAATTGTTAAGTGGCCAAGTACTATTGCGTCTGGTAGATTTGTATTCCTCCTCTCACAACTAGTATTCTGGGTTAGAGGGGACATCACCTGTCAAAGGTATGGTATAGAAGACCAAAAAGACCACATGAACAAATCACTATTTTTACACAGAGTACAGCACTGGCTTGTATACTACCCACTGGTGCTAATTTGCCTCTGTTGGTACCTACTAAACATTTGTCTTATTCTCCTTAGTTCCGTGCAGGCTAAAGCTTTGCAAGATGAGCTAATGAAGTGGCTCTCAGATCCAATGTTTCAGACGGTTGGGTTTGTGAATAAAATGTCCCTCTCTGCTACTGCTGGGCTACCTTAGAAAACAAATCCGGTCAACCTGACAGTATGGTCCAATCTTAACATATTTAAAAATGTTCTTAGGACTGAATCAACTTTATGTACTTTGATACTAATATGTATAAATGTATTATATATCTCTATTGTCCCTTTACCATATGCTATATGACTGCTGTAAAAAAACAAATGTAATGTCTCACCCATCCTCCTCCCTCCCCAGGATAAATGCAGAAAATATATGGGCAGATTGTATGAGAGTGAAAAGAAAAGCATCCATGTCAGGGTGGGATGTGTGATAAATAGAAACATGGGCCCCATTCCATGCTCCAACTCTCTGGAAAATATAGTGAAAGCTATCTGCAGATGGACTGTTACACATTGGGACAGGCAGGACTCCATCCTGCCCTCTCCTTCATCAATAAGATGCTTTCCATAAATACTAATCTCATAGATATAAGATTTAAAAGTAGTGGGGAAGGAAGGGACACTAAATAGAAACAGAATCACAGTTGTTTGATAGCTACTCACTATAAAGAAAAGATTTTCTTACAAATCCTGGGGAACTAAAGGACATGTTATAAGAAAAACTCTAGCTGGTTCACTCAGTGGATAGAGCATTGGCCTGTGGACTGAAGGGTCCTGGGTTGGATTTCAGTCAAGGGCACATGCCCGGGTTGTGGGCTCAATCCCCAGTGTGGGGTGTACAGAAGACAGCTTGTTTGAAATGAATTGTTAGAGCCATCTTTTCAGCGTGTTACACCTGCTGCCCCGCCCTCAGATTGCTGACTTTCTGATCAATAAGCACACTACAAAGATTCAACCTCCTCTCTGTTTATTTGACTGGTAGCAGCAGGCAGCTCAGACCCTTGCATGTCCCGTTTCATATTGACTGATGGAACTGTGACGTACAGGGCTGAAAGGTAGAAAAAGAAACTGAACAATTATGAGAAAATTATGAGATCTTGAAGTTATTAGCTAGAGAGCTTAGTATGTCAGGTCATATATTGCCAGAAAAGGTTACCAAGCTCCTTTAATTTTATGTTATCACAAATGTGCTATAGTTATAGTGTGTGTTGACATATTTTCATCTTACTTAAAGAGCAATGTGATTTTGTGCTGCCTACAATGCTAAATCCTAGGCTTTTTCTGGTTGCGTGGGACCTAGTCCTTCCCCCGACCCACAAAAATGATGATACTTTCGAATCCTTTTGAATGTAGGTAGGGCCATGTAATAAAGTGTATGAAGATTGATGGGGGTGGACATGACACCCATTTCCTGACCTGGCCCAGTTGAAAAAAAATAATTAGGGGGATGGGGAGCTTCCATTTAAAATCTTCCTCTCTTATCACTTTCTTTAAATCAGTCCACGTGTTGAAAATAGAGATGTATTTAATTGTAAAAGAAGCTCTTTCAACATATTGTGATTTTAAGTAAACAAATAATGATATAGCTTGAAATCAAAACCCCAGAATTTGAAAGTACAGGCACAGTGGAAAAACCACAGGGATTTGGAGCTAGGAAACGATAGTGTGACCTGAGCAGCCCACATTGGCTCAAGTCCCAGGTATAAAATAATTCAGATGGAGGATCTGAAGCTCAGAAAAGGTTACAGATATTTATATCATATTCTACTCATGTCAAACTGACTTTCTACATTAATTTTAATTTCTCAATTTTTTAACCACGATAATTATAACATTTTATGTAATAACTCTAAAAGTATAAAAATGCCCCTGTTTTGGAAACCAGGAACCATTTTTGAGATATCCATTTACAGGAATCTGCTTTGAGGCAAATAACACTTAGGAGCTCTTAGCTCCACATGGTTGGCTGGGGTCCCCAGAGCTCACCATGTGCGGTTTGGCTTCTCGATCTACCAACTGGGCTTCTTTGACGCCGGCCATTGTTCTGTAATTCTCAATGTTCTGCTGCATTTCCATGTGCTCAGGATTGGCCATGAAAAATGTGTGCCCTGCTTCCACTGCCTTTTCCAACTGGTTAAGCTGTGGAGAAGGAAAAAAAATAATAATAAAGGTGGGGTCAAATATTTCTAAACCAGGCTCAGTACTAGGCTTGAAATTGGCAGGATTGGGTTTCACTTCACATTCAGGATACTAAACCTCCATCCCAAAGGATAGAAGGTTAATATATGGTACTACTAAAATATGTGGATGATTTGACTTTAGTGAGAATGGATACATGTACTTTGTTCCAAGTTCCTTCCTCCAAGCCATCTGTGTTTTCCAGGAAATTGAATCTATATGCTTTGGTTTCTTTTATAATTAATCAAAATAAAACTCTGCCCATGCTGTGCCACTTCCAATTCAGATTTTCAACATATTTTTCTTTTTTTCTCTCTTCATTTGTTTTTGTCCATTTGCATTAGTCTTAACAAAGGGAGTATAAACACATTTATGATTTTCCAAAGCAAGGGATTGGGTATATCATCTCTATACCAAGTTTGTTACCAGGCTTTAGAATATGAAGAATACTAAGTTGTAAGAAGTAAATTATTCCAATAAGAGATGCTAAATACAGTACATACAATGTTCTACCACACTCCTTTGATTGAGGTATTTGATTTCAAATTTACAAGTTTGATTATCAATAATACAAAAGGAAGAACTTTTAATAACCACTACATAGACACAATAAATCTTCTCCTAACCCACTTAATATACTGCTCTCCATGTAACATACAGTGATACATTTTTAACAAAATGAAATTAAATTGACTCAATTTAAGACGTTTCCTTATGCTTTAGAAATGAAGAATGTCTGTAGATAGATCCATTTGTCCTATATCAGAAAATTGAGTATTAGTAGCCTTTTCCATGGTAAATCCAAATAATGTTTGATCTACTTTAAAGTGAAAAGAATTAAAAACTCATTGTTCCTGAATAAGCAAATGTAAAATCATGAAACAGCATAAAAGATTCAATTGAGTATACTTTTAACAGTTTGGCCACTCAACTATGAGTAACATAAAGTCCCCAGTAATTGCATCTCGTGATATATAAAGAATCTTAACACTTATCTCAGAAAAGATAAACTGCCATATTTCAAGATCTGACATCCTTAAAGTTGTCTAATAATAGTAAAATGTTCCCCATTCCCTTTTAATTTTCATATTCCTACCCTACTGGCCTTCCTTCCATTAAATCTCGTCTGAAACTTTTCCTACCACTTTGATTTTGTTCTCAGTTGTATGCTCCCAGAATTATTCTGAATGTCAAAATCACTAATTTTGGACTTGGTTTCTTTATTGTTAAAATTCCTCAATTTTTCACACACTAACACAAATAAATATGAATTTTGTGGACATATACATAGCAGCAAGTATATAGATATAGAGGGAAAGGAATAGGTTGTAAATTGGGTGATCGTAAGAATCTGGAAAACATCATCGATGCATTTGTGCCTCAGTTCTCCTTTAAGACAAATCCCAATAAAACACCCATATCATTATCTACTACATAGGATTTTAGAAGAAATTAATTGTGCAATATATATGAATGTGCTTCAGAAATCACTAAAACTCAAATAAAATAAACAACAGAATACAACTTATACATGATCAGTTGCAAGGTTGTAAATATGCTCTCCTTAATGATGGAAATCCTATATAATAAAGTGCTAATATGCTAATTAGACCAGATGGTGGAACCACCTTCAGGAATAAACTTTTGGGATGACCTTCCAGAACAACCAGTTGGCAGGGGGTGGGGCCTCAAGGCAGCTGGGCCTGTTGTGAGGGCAAAGCCCCTTGCATGAATTTTGTGCATCTGGTCTCTAGTAGTATATAATGCTTACACTATCTAATAAAAAGGCAATATGCAAATTGACCATACCTCTGCTGCACGCACAAGCCACGCCCATCAGCCAATTGGGAGCGAGTATGCAAGTTAACCCAACCAGAGCTGCAGCATGCATGAAGTTTGGGTTTCCCCAGCAATGGAGGAAGCCAAGCTTCCCTGCTGCCCTGGCTGGCCCAGGCCTCCACTCAAGATTACGAAATTTCAATTACAGAAGATAAATAAATCCCAACAAAAATGGCAGCAGCCGTGGAGCTGGAGAGAGCAGGAGGCTTGAGTTGCCCATGGCAATGGAGGAAGCCAAGCTCCTGCTGCCCTGGCCTGCCTTGGTCTCCACTACAAAGTTTCAATTATAGAAGATAAATAAATCCCAACAAAAGTGGCTGCAGCCATGGAGTGAGCAGGAGGCTTGGCTCCACTCAAGGCTACAATGTTTCAATTATAGAAGATAAATACACCCCAGATACCAGGGCCTCCACTTGGGTCACTGAGGAGCATGGCTGGCCTGCAAACCACCACAGGCCCCTCACACAGGTCACTCACACCCCAAGAGAACCTTGCCCTGATCTGAGACACACTTCAAGGCAAACCAGCTGGTCCCTACCTGTGCACCAGGCCTCTATCATATCTAATAAAAGAGTAATATGCAAATTGACACACAAGATGGCTGCCCCTATGTGGTCAAAGTTGGTCAGCAGGGGAGGGCTGTTTGAAGGAACAGATCTTGAAGGGAGGGCAGTTGGGGGAGATCAGGCTATCAGGGGAGGACAGTTCAGAGAGACCAGGCCTGCAAGGAAGGGCAGTTGAGGGCAATCAAGCCTGCAGGGGAGAGCAGTTAGGGATGACCAGGGTGGCAGAGGAGGGAAGTTGGGGCAACCAGGTCTTCAAGGGAGGGCAGTTGGGGGGGGGGGCGCGAGGAACCAAGCTATAGGGAAGAGCAGTTGGGGGGAACCAGGCCTGCAGGGGATGACAAGGGAGCAGTTAAGACATCAATCAAGCTATCAGGGGAGTGGTTAGGGGGTTATCAGGCTGGGAGGCAGAAGTGGTTAGGGGCAATCAGGAAGGCAAGCAGGTAAGCAGTTGGTAGGCGCAGTCCTGGGTTGTGAGAGGAATGTCCAACTGCCCTGGTAGAATTGGGCCTAACTGGGCAGTTGTACATCCCTCAAGAGGTCCTAGATTGGAGAGGGTGCAGGCTGGGCTATGGGATACACACCCCTGTGCATGAATGTCATGCACCAGGCCTCTAATGCATACATAATTTATAAGATTTGTTAAGGTTTTTATGGTTGTGAAAACTGCCTCCAGTTAAGAGTCAAACTATAAGTTATGAACAAAACAGGCTAGCACTGACATATTCGGGTTCTATAGCACCATTATAACTGATAGAACATATATCAATATTTATTTTACATTTTCCTACTTTCATGTTTTGCTCAGGCTATTCCATTGACTTGAAGATCATTTGTCCCTTGGTCTTTTCTGGTTGAAATCTAACATCCTAATATATAAAAACCCTGAGTCATAACATCGGAAGCTCAATCAACCAGAAGTCAGTCCTGCAGTCAACACTGGGTTGCTATTGCAACCCAGCACTGACTGCTTCCACTACAGGCTTGGTGCCCCAGCACTGACTGCTGAGGGGGCTGAGAATCAGGGCCAGAGAGAGATCTAAAGAAAGAAGCAGGGATGATCTGTTGCCTCTGTGGCAGCTTTTGATCAACACTTGCCTCTCTCTCTCCCAGTCTGGCCAGTAGCTGCTCCTCCATTTCTCTTCAGGCCTCACCAGGGCTGCTGATCAGGCCAGCCTTTTTTTTTATTTTATTAAATATATTTTATTGATTTTGTACAAAGAGGAAGGGAGAGAGATAGAAAGTTAGAAACATCGATGAGAGAAAGTCATCAATCAGCTGCCTCTTGCACACCCCCTACTGGGGATATGCCCGCAACCAAGGTACATGCCCTTGACTGGAATCGAACCCGGGACCCTTCAGTCCCCAAGTCAACGCTCTATCCATTGAGCCAAACCCATCCGGCAGGCCAGCCTTTTTGATCAGGCCCCATTGATAGGCTCTGAGATGCTGACTATCATATAAACTGACCAATCAGAACCAAATCTGGGTGAATGTAATGAGCCAATGGCTGCCTAGAAGGCAGAACTTTTGATACTGACTGGCATAGAAACTGACCAATCAGAAACAAATTGGCAAGCATGGGAGGGCAGTTAGGGGCAAGATCAGGTAGGTAGAGGAGAGGAGTTGGGGGTGAGATCAGACTGGCAGGGAAGGGCAGTTGGGGGCTAGATCAGTCAGGCAGAGGTAGTTAGGGGTGATGAGGCCAGCTGGAGAGGCAGTTAGGGCTGATCAGGCAGGCAGTTGGGGGTGAGATTAAGTTGGCAGGGGAGGGCAGTTAGGGGCAATCAGCAGGCAAGCAGATGAGTGGTTTGGAGCCAGCAGTCCCAGATTGTGAGAGGAGTGTCCTATTGGAGTGGGTGCAGGCTGGCTGAGGGAAACCCCCTCTCTGTGCACAAATTTCGTGCACCAGATCTCTAGTACACTATAAAGCCTAACTTCAATTCTGCCTTCTCTAATAGATCCTTTCCCCACTCTGTAGCTGTAGCCAAGCATTGCAATGCCATCCCTTTTTCTCTACTGTCACTTATATGCTGCCATACATAGTGTCTACTGAGTATGTTTGTTTCTCTTACTAGAGCTCTGAGGAAAGGGACCATACGACTTATTTATCTTTTTGTTTCCTACCTACTTCACATACAGATGATGCCTATGAAATGTCTAAGAAAAGAGAAAAGAAACTTCTAGCAAGTAAATCTTTCACATACAAATCAAAAGGTATATTAGTATATTACATGGGAGTGTGCTTCATAAGCTACCATGCACTAAAATGATATAAGTTTAATAACATTTCAGAAGTCATTATTTGCACTGAGAGCTCCCAATAACATTTAATACTGATGACTGTGATCCAGTAGCTCTTGAAAACTGTCAGACAATGTTGATACACTGGGTCCTTTTCTTAAATTTGACCACATTGGTTTTTTTGCTTATTTGGTGCTTTCCCCATTTGTAACCTAGTATTGAACATAATACCATCATCCCTAAGTATAAAAGATTTCATGACTTAAACCATAAAACTTACTCGTGAACTGGCCAAGGCTTTTAAATCATTGTGAA